AACACAAAAATAATCGGTCAAAACAAACGAAAATTATACATAAAGTAGTTAATTAACATGCATTTGTATCAAATGAAAGAAAGATTACATGTGATGGTCGTCAAACTTAGTTCGAGAAAAGTTTGAGAAAGAAGAGGGACTCGCGCGTTAAGATAAAGTGAATGAATTTTCAATCTTCCGCTCAAATTAAAAAAGGGAAACTTTTGGCTAACATATAATACGTCGAATCTCCTACAAAATTCGACGTATTATATATGGTTTAAAAGAAAAAACGAATTAAAAAGGGGTTACTTTTTGGCTTCTCACTGACAAATAATACGTTGAAGCCCTTACACAATTCGACGTATTATTTGTTGTTTAAAAGAAAAAATAATTAAAAGGGTGACTCTTTGGCTTCTGACTGACAAATATTACGTCGAACCCCTACAGGATTTGACGTACTATTAGTGGTTTAAAAGAAAGAAGAAATAGAATGACGCGCTGGTTTAAATAAGGCTTAAATGCTTACTTCGTCCTCATGTTAAGATGTGAATTTATGTTTAGTACCCAGTTTTAAAAATGAAGACATTGGGTCCCTATGTTATGAAAAATGTATGACTTTAGTCCTATCCATTTAACGGCGTTAAAATCGATAACGTTGAAGTTACTGTGGATGTGAGTTGTACAAGAAATGTTGACGTGACATTTAGTTGACCTAAATTCAGTTGACGTGGCAGAGTTTATGTTATGTGTATATTAAAAGTTTAGGGTTTTTAATTGGGAAATAAATCTCCAATGGTTCTCTTTCTTTCGCGAGTTTTGCAAACCCCAATCCTCAATTTCATTTTCTCTCCCAATTTCCTTTTCTCTTCGTTCTACAATGGTGGAGCTGCGGGTTGCTCCTTTGTCTTTCACGGAATTTATACCTGCAAGGTATGATTAGCTGATCGAATCAAATAAATGATAAAAGGTGAAAAATAGAATGAATTTATACCAAGAAGGAGGCCTTGAGGCGCCTCTCGGGATGGCGATCAGGGGCAAGTTCTTGGCAACAGTCATCTAAGTGATGGTATCATCCGAAGATCTCGCTTCTTCACCTCCTTCGCCTTCCTCTCAGCCTCCGCCTGCTCCTCTTCCCACCACCGCCTCAGCTCCACCTCCGTCACCTTCGGCACGAGTATCGACACCCGGTTCGCCTTCTTGTCCACCTTTTTCATCGCCTTCTCGAGCTCCTTCTCCTCCTACTTCGCCAACCTACGTGCCTCCGCCTGATACGCGGCTGCTTCGGCCCTCTTTTTGGCCTCTTCCTCCTTCTTCTTTGCAGCTCGTGACTTGGAGCCCTCGACCTCTTACCAGTACTGATCTTCCTTTTGTCGAGTCTCCTTCTCCTTGGTGTTCACCCCATCTTCTTCAGCATCTTACTTAGGGTTTACTTTTCTTTCGGTGCTGATGCTGCTGTATCAAAAGGCGTGTGCGGCTGAGGCGGAAGAGAAGCTGGAAAAGACTGTGTTTGATCCGCAGAAGGTTGAAATGTTGGTTGTCCCAAGGAAACAGGGGAGGTGCTTGAGTATTTGAGGGGAACTGTGTAATCGGAAAACGCGAGAAAGGTCCAACAGTAGGTGGGGAATTGGAAGGAGAAGGAGGCACTGAGGGGCCGTTAAATTGGTCCGGTGGCGCAGATAATGAAAATGGTAATGAAAATGGTAATGAAAATGGTAATGAAAATGGTGTGGATGCCAATGGAGGAGCAGAAGGAGTGGGTCTGGAAAAAGGAGGCTCTGACTCAACCATGGTAGCAGTTGACGAAAAAGATGACATTCCCTGTGCTGTATCAAGGAAATTATAACAGAATTAAAATAAAATTAATAATTAAATTGGTTAAGGTAAATAAATAAAATTATTTAAATTTTGCCACGTTGGATATATATTTTGCCACATAATTAACATTTAAAGTCGTTCCTACAAACTTAACGGACAGGGCTAAAGTCAAACAATTTTGATAACATAGGGACTCAATGTCTTCATTTTAAAAACTGGGTACTAAACAGAAATTAACCTCTTAACATGGGGACGAAGTAAGCATTTAAGCCTTTAAATAATTATCATCATAGAACGTCGAATTGAATGGGGCTTTGACGTTCTACAATTGCATTTATTTACAAAAAGGTCACCGGTCATTTTTAACGTTGGTTATTCAGTGGTTGGACGTTGAACGCGTGACGTTATACGCTGCTTTTGCACTAGTGAAAAGTCCTATTACTTGTTAGATTTGATTATTCATTGGTGTGATCCAAGTCTCAAAATTATTATCTTGAGGTTGTTGTTAAAATCGAGGTCATATGGTGATTATTGCCTCAATTATTAAAATAAGTTAGGCGATATGTTTTTTCTAGATTAAAATTTTGTGAAAATCACATATGACCCACTATAACAGTTTTCTTCTTTCTCTATGAATGAACCAGCACTTCTGCAACCACTGCTGCTTCTTTGAACCAAAACGCCATTGTCACTGCTCCAACATCGTCATCTTCTTCATTTGTTGTTGTCGTCGTTGCAAACCTCTTTGTTCGTTTGTTCTTCGCTTTTGTTGTTCGTCTTCTACACAGTGGTGAGCGCGATTCTCTTCAGCTTTTTGTGCGTTGTTTGTGCTTGCTTTAGTTCCTAGGACTAATATGTTGTTTGTATTTGTGTCCAAGTACTTTATTTTTGTGGTGGGATTTTGTATCGTTCCAAAATGTGGATAGTTGCATCCTTTTCCATTGTTGTCTGCCTTTCACGCTCTCAAGTTCCTATTATTATGTTTAAAATTTACATTTTTAATATGACCCTATAATTTTGTAGTAAGTTGTTCATTTTTATATGTTGGGTATGTGATTAAATGTATGCTTAAATATATTGTTATATTGAGTTAACCTTAGTTTTCTGTTTGAGATTCAATACAAAAATTATTTATTGTTTGTAAGTTTTTTTGAAGAAATGTATTTTTTTTAAAATGAATATAAAAGGAGATGGTACTAATAATTTATAAGTATTGAATCTTGAATTGTCTGGTTGAACGATTTAAGAAGATTAATCACTTTTTCATAGTTTATTAGTGCATATAAATGTCTTCAAATTCATGAATGTTTGCAATTATGTTTTGTATTGATCTTCGGATGTATATTTGATTGTGATTTATAATCACTTTCATTTTGTGTAACCTAAAGGCTAATGTTAAATGTTGGCAAAATTTCGTGAAATTTAAGATATGTTGTTTAAAATTTATATGTGTAATAAACTAAAGAAAATGAATCTTCTTGAATGGAATAGGGTCAAACCTTGAATACAAAATAGAGACCGAAGTGATTGATTGATGTCGTACCCGAATCAAATTAATATGCAATTAAAATGCAGTATAAACTAGGAAGTGACTCCTAGGTCATCTCTCAAGGACCAACAATTGGTTCAGACAATAGGTCAAACACGTAGTGGGGGGTTGTGGACAGTTTTACGAATGGAAATTAAACAAGTAAAACACGAATTCAAACAATAATGAAAAACAGATTCTAGGTCAGACCCTAAACTTAGGCTTCCCAAAAAATGACCAAAAACGGGCCCAATAGCTAAGTATGCCTAAAAATACAAATCTGGTCCAAACAATCATAAAAAAACACAAATAAAATGTAATTCTGATGTGGATGAACGAAAATGATGTAACAAATGACACGACCTCTCTCTTAATATCCCAAAATAAATTCCAAAAATTTTCCTGCAATTAATAATGAAAATAATTAGCCTCAGATAATTCAAATTAATTAAAATAAGAATTACTGATCAAATTAAGCATAACTAGCAAAACTGGAGAAATACTGGACATTTAAGCACAATTCCCTAATTAAATCTAGCACAAGAAACTAAGTGAATAATAGAAAATATTGATTCATCAGTGATCATTCAAGATTACTGAAATTGTGTGAACAATTTTAGTAGATATACGTATGGATCAGGATTGAATTAATTCATCTTGCATAAGTGTTGAGTATGAGAAGAAGTAGAAGAATTTATACAATTTGTGTAATGTAATTAGGGTAAAAGTGATGATGAAGTGAAGTTTAGATGTCCTTGTGTCAACTGTTTGAATGAGAGAAAATTAATCGCAACCAAAGTTAGGGAACATCTTATTTGTGATGATTTCCTTCGAAGTTGTATGACATAGACATGACACGAAGAATTAATAGACTTTTCAACTGTCTCCCAAACTGAACGCGTATTCAATTCCACCATGGAAGATCGACCGGAAGAAGACAAATTAGAGGACATGATCCATGATGTTGGCGCAAAAGCTTTTGCCCAAGCACATGTGTATGAAATGATGTCCACTGATGTGAAAACTCCTTTGAGTGTCGATTCAACTAAGTTCACACAGTTTTCAATGGTGTTAAGGCTCATGAATTTGAAGGCGACCAATGGATGGACTGATAAGAGTTTCACATAATTGTTGTCGTTGTTGAATGAAATGCTTTCCGATGGAAATACACTACCCACTCGTAATTATGATGCAAAGAAAATTGTTTGTCCGATGGGTATGGAATATAAAAGGATACATGCATGTCCAAATGGTTGCATATTATATAGAAAAGAGTTTGAAGGTTTGAAAGATGTCAAAAATGTGGGTTATCACAATACAAGCCAAAAAATAACAGTGAAGATAGTGGTCAGATAGAGAATGATGGTTTCGCTTTGAAAGTAATTTAGTACCTTCTAATCGCGGTCAGATTTAAGCGTTTGTTTATGAATCCAAAAGATGCTAAAAACCTTAGATGACATATAGATGAAAGAACAATTTACAAAATGATTCGTCATCCAGATGATTCAATGCAATGCAAAATTATTGATCATGAATTTCTCCAATTCGGTAATGTAGAAAGCTTTGGCTTGGTTTAGCTATTGATGGAATTGACAACTTATCTCCTGAAATGTGGATGAAAAGAAAGTACATGATGTTGTGTATGATGATATCTAGTCCAATGCAGCCCGAAAATGTCATAGAAGTTTATCTCAGCCCACTCATTGAATAATTGAAGTTGTTGTGGGTTGATGAGGTTGAAATATTTGATGTCTTCGTTTCTGAAACTTTCGTGATACATGCAATGTTATTTTTCACCATTAATGACTTCTCAACGTACGGGAATTTGCCAGGATACCATGTCAAGGGTCATAAAACATATCCTATATGTGAAGAAAATAATGTAACTCATTAATTGAAACACAAAAGGAAGACAATATATATGCGTCATCGGAGATTTTTACAATATAAACATTCATATTGAAGGCTAAAAAAAGAATTCAATTGACATCAAGAGAATGATGATGCACTAATTCAACTGATTGGTCATCAAATTCATGAAAGAGTTAATCAAGTACAGCAGGTATTTGGGAAAACATCCAAGAAGTCATCTACAACAAGTCCTTAGAAGAAAAAAATAAATATTCTTTGATCTTCCATATTGGTCAAAGTGGAAGGTTAGGCATTGCACATATGTAATGCATGTAAAAGAATGTGTGTGATGTAGAGCTCCCAAGACCAATTCACTCTAGAAGGTCATCATGATATTCTTGCTACTACAATTAGACGACCTGAGCACCCTAGACAAGCGTGTGTTACTGGATCTGGCATTGACATTCAACATTATTTTGGGGGTTCCTCCAATCACTCTTCACACGCACACATTGTTGAGTATGAAGAAAGGATGACGCAGAAGTCAGCGTGTAGCTCTATGATGAAGTCACTTCAAAAGTGACTGGGAATATTGTGTCAGTTCCAACAACAATTTGATAGTTATGGCTTTTCTTCGCAAACATTTTTTCCAAGGGAACATGTACTTTCCATAGGTAAAATTAATAATCATTTTATGCTAACTTATGAATTTCAATAATTTTTCTTTATATAAACTAACATTGCCTTTGAAAAATAGAAGTGATAAAGGTAGTTGTTCAGTTCCAACCGCTATAGGGACGTCATGGACGACATTTGTCCATGCCAGCTATATGTTTATGATGGTATAGGGACGATACTAATGGCTCGTGGAACAATATTTGAGACAGTCACTGTTCTTCATGGAATAAAGCTATTAGATGATGAGGTCAAGGTCACGGTAGATAAAATTGTCATACCAGATGTTTTAGTTCCTGTGCCAATAGATGAAATATTTACTATGGCACTGACATTTCAATCTTTTCTCGCCCGGCCTAGACATTTGGTTAGTTCTATTTCTAACCCCCTGGTATGGACTTCCATTATACACTTCTCAATTTTGAACTTTTTATGTTATTGATGTTCAAACTTAAATACTTTTTCATGTAACAACAGACGCATGGAGAGAGAAGTCTTACACCCAAAAAGATTCATTTATTTGGGGACGACCTTGTTGGTGCATTGCACCAACTTATTGACATCATTATAGATTATCCAATGACGGTTCCATGGGATTCTACTGTATTTGGAAGAGACACTAACATTTCATTGTACTTATATAGGTAACATGTCGTAGAGCTTGCATCGGGGAAAAAAGAATTAAATATTACTCTCATTCAGTTATGGGTGATACAAGCCAATGAATCATTCTTTATATAAAATTGATTTATCTAGTTACTTACATCAATTTTTTTTTTCAGGTATATGTTTGGTGTAAGTAACAATTGTTAGTAAATACTCAACAGAATGTTCGTGGGCGGATAATAACCAAGAGGGGGTGAATTGGTTTTCTTGATAAAAACAGTATTTTTATAAAAGCTTCCCTTTTTAAAAAGTAACTTAACAACACAAATAATTACTTCAGATCAAAAGATTATAGGAAAGAGATGCTTACATAAGTGATTTTATACTGGTCCAGATCAAAAGATCCTACACCAATTGCACGGGAGAAGAAAATATATTTTGTCCCTTAGGGTGTGTTTATTTTGGAGGTGAATGAGTGCATGGATTTAAGGGTAAATTTAGTATTGTTTGTTTGAGTGAATTTGGAGGCGAGTAAGAGTGGATTTGGAAGTAAAGTTTGTAAAAAATTAGTGTAGAATTTGATCGATGTGACAAACTAAAAAAATAGTGTAATTGGTAGAAATTAAAGATTATCAAAATATTCCTAGTTATTAAAGTAATATAAAATAATAATTGTTAATTTTATATTTAATTGTAAAAATGTTTATAAAGTGAAAAAAAATTAAAATTAATTTTAAAAATGTAAAAAAATTATAATTTAGTAAAATGAAATATTTTTTAAATATAATATCTTTTTAATATAATTTATATTTGTTATTGAAGTGAAATTTAATATTTATAAAAAAATAAATAATTAACCAAAATTCAGTTAACAATATTAACAAATAAAAAAAGAGAATGAAAAAAACTAGCAAAGAAGCAAAGAAGTTTACGATATCAAAAATGGTGAGAGCATCATAAAGTTAGGGTCTAGACTCTGTACTACTAAATTTGGGAATAATAGTTCATGGGTATCACCTTCTGGCCACTTTGCTTTAGGCTTTTACCTACAAGTAAATGGCTTTGTTGTGGGTATATCACTGGTTGGTGGTGATAGTCCACCCTAAAAAACTGTTGTGTGGACTTCTAACTGTGATAGTCGCCCACTCCCCTCAGCATTGAACATCACCACCACTGGTCTTAGGCTTTTCACAGCCACGCCATTAAGCTCGCAAATGCATCAACCCATGGAGGAAAGCATCAACGAAATCGTTACAGGCTTGTGGAACGAATCAATGTGAGGGGAACATGTTAATACGAAAGAGGAACCGAATACACTCATTGTCTGCACTTCTTCTCTCTGGTGTAACCGAATGCCACAACATGGAACCGAATACATGCATTACTTCATTTCTTCAATTAATTGGAACCGAATACAAATAGGTGGGAACCGAATATGCATTCCTTCTCCCAACTCCTTTTTCAACTCCTTCTTTAACCTCAAATCTTCATGTTCGAGCTCTTCATCTTTGTCTTCAGCCATGAACCTTCATCATCTCCAACCAAACATTCCTCCAACCTATGCACCATGAATCTGAAACCATGCTTTATATATTATTAAACATGAAAACATGGGTTGGAATTGATTATAAAATCTTTGGATTCGAATAGTGTAATTTGGTATTTCCTAAAACTATGAGGGCAAATTTGAGATTTCAAAGAAAATCATTCCAAATCTCTGCCTCTTTGCGGGTGACTAAAAAAGTGCATAACGCGTAAATCCACTTAAATCATTCCTCCTAGATCAGACCAAACGAACATAATGCGTCCCGCAAATCTGCGCTCATTTTCTCGTGAACAATTAAATCAGCCAAAGTGAATAGAGTCTTATATTGTTGCATAAGTGTAGTTTGTTAACTTCAAAGTTGCATCTGTGATTGTAAGGTATAACAATTAAGTTATTATCAATTCAGACAACATTGACAGCTATCTGTGGTTTCCCTACCGAACAATATTGTTGTGTGGTTTTGCTCATTGTATAAGTCTCTCTCAAACATCTCAGACATATAGTAGATTGATACAAACCTTAATGTTATTATCTTTCTTTATTATATAAGTGTATTCTAAAACATTCTTTTTTTCATAGTTCAATTGTAGTATATATGATGTTGTCAAGGAAATCAATTGCTAAGGCTAAAAAGCTTGGATGGTTGGCCCTCAAGGTTTAGTATTTTGGTCCATACTTTCTTATAATTGTTTTATTTCAATGATTTTTCCTAATTACTTATAATTATGATGATATATTATAGTGTAATAGGCAAATTGACTCATATGAGTGTAGTATTGTGTAATGCATTGGATGACAACCATTATTCGTGCACATATTACAAATGGTTGGGCAATGGTAATATTTGCAATTAATAAAAAAAATCTCCATTGATTAGAAATCATATAGACTAATTGAAATCATTGTGTTTTGTATAAAAATTCAAGACTTCTTCTCCAATTCCCGACAAGTTCATTTATTACATACGAAAAGCCCTCGCAAAATATGTAATACAACCATACAATAATATGTAATTGTTAAGATGAAATAATTTGTAAATTATCATATCATAATTTGTACATTAATTATCATATCATTATTTGTACATTAAGTTGACTTTTTATTATAATTCTCTTTTTGATTGAAAAATATATTTTGGACTCTTTATTTGTTGTGCATACTAGTTTTGATATGCAAGTCATTTATGCAATGTAGGATATTATAGAAAAAGAATGATCTTTAAGAAAAAATGCATACTTTAGGCAGCGGTTATCAAATGAACCGAAGAAAAAAAAACACTTTTGGCAATGGTTTTGGATACAACTGAGGCAATAGACTCCATCAGAAAATAAAATGTGGACATTTTTTCCTTCAGTTCATAATCGAGGCCAAAAATCCGTTTTTCATCTCGTCTTAATATGCCTCATTCAAAAACCGCTGTCAATTGTCGAAAATAATTGTTGTCGTATCCTTTCGTTGTATTAGTGTAGAAAAAAAAACTTAGTAAGCAAAGATATAAAAGTGAAGACTTGGTGGATAGTATTGTGAATGTGATGATAAAGTAAGCAAGGGTGAAGCCACTACCACCTTGTGTTTGAAACTTCATTTCACCAACCTTTGCATGTTCCTAAAATCCAACCATGACCACAAACTTGGATTTCCTTTCCAAGTTGTTAATAAGAAAAAATTCCACTTTCCTATGCATAAAAGGAGATGCACTAAAGAGTTTATCACATATATACATTTTGTTAAGAAATAGATTTTAAGTCTAACTCAATCTTACAAAACCGACCTCACACTAAGGTATATGTGCGTGGAACTAGACATTAATGGACTGACAACGGTTGGAATGATATGCCCAACAAACATAAATCTTGATAGGATAGGCTTTAATTCATGACTCTGATACGATGCTAAGAAATGAACTTTAAGCCTAATTCAACCTTACAAAACCGGTTTGTAAGGTGAGGTTTGCACTCACATATATACTCTAAATTGGTCTTACCTACATTTTCAGGATAATTTAAGAAAATATACACATTATGTATAAAAACATATACTGACAAATGCAGCAATAACTGGTTTGACTTTGTCTTCTGCAACATGTAGTAAACATGGGAAGCAAAGCTTAGTGAAGTTCTTACATACATTATCCTCAAGTCCCCACAGAGACAGTCACGGAAAAATAGTGAGAGAGGGGGCTTGAATGTGTGTGGAAAAATTCATGAAAGTAGTAAATGAATGGCACCAGTCGAGTATTTGATATGGCCTGCAACAATGTTGGGTGCTTCAGTATGTTTGTATGTATAATTACTGCAAGGTAGAGAGCAGGTGAATGTATTGATTGCATTTCAACCACCGCCAGTTACCATCTTGTATTAAATCCTCTTCCCTCTCTTTTCATTACCATGTCAACTTGTTTTTGTTCATTCTTACAGATAGATAAATCAACAAGCTCTTTGCTCCATGTGCCTCTCTTCACTCTCTCACACTTTTATGGCTAAGTTTGGACTGTCCACATTCTTGGTGCTTTTCATGGTGCTGAGTGATGCTGCGGTGAGAGGTCAAAATGGGAATGGGAGAGAAATGGTGCCTGCCATGTTCATATTTGGTGACTCTCTCATTGACAATGGCAACAACAATAACCTTCCTTCCTTAGCTAAGGCCAACTATTACCCTTATGGCATCGACTTCAATGGAGGCCCTACTGGTCGCTTCTCAAATGGCTACACCATGGTTGATGAAATAGGTATACCCTCTCTCTTTTATCAACTATTTTTCTCTTTTTCCTAGTACTTGTCTCATGACACAAAGCCAACCTAGATTATGGGGTTAATTCGTTTGAGTCAAAGCACATAGAATATGCATCAGTTTCATTATTGCAACCTTTTGTCTTGGCATAGAATGTTTTGGCAAGCATTGGAATTAAAAGCCAAAAGCTTGAGGTATGAGGCATAATTTGCTGCAAGGAAAAGTATCACATGACATTATTCTAGTGTGGTAAGGTTGAGTTAGAATTAAACTTCATGTTATATACTTTAATTTGACTAATTAGTCACCAATTTCAGATTCCTTGTTTTATGACTGATTGTCCAGACAGATTTCGAAAGATAAAGTAATGCAATTGAATTGTTCATTTTCTTTTGCAATATCTTTTTTGTCACTTTTGCCATGAATTTCTTACTTAGGAAGCCTACCAAGGATACCATCAATGAGGTGAATAACTGCTATACACCTAACGGCCTATCTCTTGGGTACAACTATTAATTATATGAAGTAATTGCTTGCTGTAAATTTCTCATTTTCTCTTTTCTCCTTCAGTGACCATTTTACTTTTTATATGTGGTTGGTGTGTGTGGCAAAAAGGGTAGATAAACCTCTGTCAAGGCATTTTCTTGCAGTAAATGATGCATTAAAAAGGATACGGAGGCTCCTACTACACTTTTATCTACACACCCATTGAACCTACACAAGTGTTTCTCACTAGACTGTAGTGACCAAATAGAAATTACTTACAAGGCAATATAGCTCCCATATATGAAAAAAGTGTAGTGACCAAATGCTTTCTAAAAATAAGGCCATAAAGATATTCTTGTTAAGCACTAACATTTGTTTATCAGACTCATTAATGACCTTAACAGTTTATCCTGAATAATATGTATCATTTAATTGAATTTTAGACTGATGTGTTCGTATCAATGCAGCTGAACTGCTTGGACTTCCCTTGATTCCTGCATACTCAGAAGCCTCAGGGAATCAAGTGCTTCATGGAGTAAACTATGCTTCAGCTGCTGCCGGAATTCTTGATGCCACTGGCCGAAACTTTGTGTGTAACATCCATTCATCTTTTAGATTTTGACCTGAACATTACATAAAGCAACTTTGTTTTTCATTTGAAGAATTTATTGAGAGGCTGAATCATAATGGATTCTTTTTGAGCAGGTTGGGCGAATACCATTTGATCAGCAACTAAGGAACTTTGAGAACACATTAAATCAAATAACTGGGAATCTTGGAGCAGACTATATGGCCACAGCGCTTGCACAATGCCTATTCTTCGTTGGAATGGGCAGCAATGACTACCTTAACAACTACCTTATGCCTAATTACCCCACCAGAAATCAGTACAATGGACAGCAATATGCTGATCTCTTGGTTCAAACATATAGCCAGCAACTCACAGTAAGATTTCTTAGTTTCTCATATACTATTAAGTTAAACTTACTTTTTTGTCCAAGTTAATTTCGAGGAGAAGTTAATTGTTCATGATTACATGTGTTATAGAGGCTTTACAATCTTGGAGCAAGGAAATTTGTGATTACTGGACTGGGGCAAATGGGTTGTATTCCAAGCATTCTGGCTCAAAGCATGAGTGGAACTTGCTCTGAAGAAGTGAATTTGCTAGTGCAACCCTTCAATGAAAATTTGAAGACCGTGTTGGGCAATTTCAATGCTAATCTACCTGGTGCCAGATTCATATTCGTTGACTCTTCCCGCATGTTCCAGGACATCCTTCTCAATGCTAGATCTTACGGTATGTATGAATCAAAACATACTACTTCATTGCAGAACAAAATCACACAAATATAACTGAGTGGTGTTCATTATTTTGCTCTTATATATGGTCTAGTTTAGCACTTTGCAATGAACATTTTCAACATGTCTTTCATGATGAGACTGATAGTCTTACTATCTTTCTGTGAAGGGTTTAGTGTTGTAAATAGAGGGTGCTGTGGCATTGGAAGAAATAGAGGCCAAATAACATGTCTTCCATTCCAAACTCCATGCCCTAACAGAAATCAGTATGTGTTCTGGGATGCATTCCACCCAACAGAAGCAGCCAACATTCTGATGGGAAGAATGGCTTTCAGTGGGAATTCCAATTTTGTCTATCCTATAAACATAAGGCAGCTTGCTGAGCTATGAATTGAGCCTCTATAGTTTGAATCTTGCTGTGTCACTGTCACTCATTACTATATGTGGAACAACAAATTTAATGATCAAGTTTATATTTAGTAATTACTATATGTGGAACGACAAATTTGGTATAGGGAATGTACTGCTATCTACATTTACTATCACAACTGTCATATGAATTCGTGCTTATCTTCTCTTTTTGTCTATTTTTATTATAATTTGGTAAGTGAATATTGCCCTTTTCTTCAGACATTTTAACCAGAGTTATATATTTTTGATGATCACGGGAACAAAGTTGAAATTAGATGCCAAGAGAAATATATAGGATTTTGGTTATCTTTGCTAATTTTAGTAGTAAACGTGCTTTAAAATGAACATAAGCTGCCCCTATATTTTGTCATTACCCCCTCCACCCATATGCACCTTCCTCACTGGGTGCACCCGTATTGTATTTAGAAGGGAATTCTCTCAGAAATTCTTTGTAAAATCCAAGTCTGGTCATTAGTTTTGAGAGTGAATTAAGCCTAAAAAAGTGTATATCCACATTTCAAAAACATGATGCCCATTTCATGCACTTCATTTTCTAATCTTTAAAATCTTTCAACCAACATATATTCTGGTTTAAGCTACACAGTATTTTTTAGCTAAACTCTAATCTAATATGAACAACAAGTGACACAAATTAAATACTGGAGAAGGAAGGAAATGCACAGAGGTGTTTCATATATGTTAATGTAATATTATTCCTACATAATGGAATAACAAGTGTACAAAGGAAATCAAATGGTTTAAGCAACAACAACACAAGATCATGAACACTGATCAAACAGCAGAGTGCATGCACTGCATAAATACCACACAAACAGACAAAATCCAACATAAACTAAACTTTTTACTGGGTTGCCAATTCTTGAATATTAATGGGATAAGTGTATGATTGTGAACTGTATGATGCCTTCGCTAGTAAAATATTGGCCACCTCAGTGGGGTGGAAAGCATCCCAGAACAAGTACTTCTGACGATTTTCACATGGTTGTTGCATTGGAAGGCAAGTAATTTGTCCATTGTTCTTGCCAACTCCACAGCAGCCCTTGTCTATCACATCAAATCCTATATGAAACAATATATATAGATAGCAAATCAGCTTGAGCATGTTCTTTGTCATGAATAGATGGCATGCCTATAGAAAAGAGAATTACCAAATGATGCTCCATTTGAAGATAAGTCTGAACTGCTTAGATAAAAATCAAGGAACACAAACTTTGCTCCTGGAAGCTGCCCTCCATTGAAGTTTTGAACCATTTTCTTAAGGCCGGAGTTAAATAGCAAGATGGCATTGTTGATTTTTTCATTGCATCTGGTGCTGTTACCATGAAAACGGGCTAACTGATATGGTATGCAGCCAATTTGACCAACTGCTGTAACAATCACTTTTCTTGCTCCTAGTGAATATAATTGCTGCACAATTTTAAGTAAAAACCATTAATAATGTCTAATAAGAGAAACAATAATATAGAAACCCCAAATCTAAATGTTAATGCAAGTTAGTTATCATGGAATCAGTTGTTACAAGCACATTTTTTAATTTAAACTAACTTGTACATGTGGACATTCAAAAGGCCATCTAACAAGGATTACCGGAGAGACATAACACCCGTGAGACATAAGATCAATTCACATAAAAAGGTGACAACTCGAAACTTTAAAACAATAGATCCACGAGTCTTCATCTTTATATACACTGAACTTTTTCATTTTTACTCGATGTGAAACTTAGATTCCTGCTTGGATTTCTAACGATTTAAACTACACTAGATCGTCAATTTACCTTGTTAGAATATTGTGTTCATAGGAATGACATGATTGTTAACATGACCCTGAATGCGAATGAATTAGTTATATGTAGAGTAATTTAGAATTAGATGTGGATAACATACAGATAGCTGACGAGAGTAATCTTGAAGAAGGGCAGATGCAAAAGCTTTAACAGTAAAATCTGAGCTAGTTGAATAAAAGTCTGGCATGAAGTAGTTATTCAGGTAATCATTGCTTCCCATCCCTGAAAAGAATAGACATTTGCCCAGGTAGCTACTAAGTGAGTCATTGTCTCCTCTGAAGAACCTTCTCAGCTGCTGCACTGTGTCGCCAAAGTTTGCGACTTGGTCATTCATTGAAGTATGAGCACCCTGCAAGCAATTTACGCAATAAAATCAGAAGAAGTAGCACAGGAATAATATGTACAATAATGTTTGTTTTCTCAAAAAGAATCTCCAACATATGCCATTGCATACAAGGTTACTGCCTGTTTCGTCTCTAATGCCTGCAGCTCCAGATGCATAGTTAGCTCCTCTTAGAAGATCCAATCCCCTTGCTCTTGAGTGTGGAGGAATATATGTTCGGAAACCCAGAAGCTGAGCTGCAATTTTCAACATTGTATTCTTGAGAAACACAGCTATGTGTGCATATGGGATCCTATTGTCAAGTGGTACATAAAACTTTCAACAGAACCACATTAAATGATGCAAATTACACAGAAGTTAGAACCAAACAAAAACTCAGTATATTGCTATTTTATAGCTATTAGCTACAAAATAAATCTTGATGGTAGGAACATTTTCTTTGTACTACTTCTATTCAAATCCCCAAAATCTAGATTTTTACTTTCATGGGTATTTTGAGAGGAGTTCGTTAGCGAGAGATTACATAAATCTTGTTGGGTCCATCGAGCACGGAGACATAAATACCAATGACATCTGAGTACAACCATATAATAGATTGGCACCACTCTTTGCCTCAAACCTTAAGTCAATGGATTAATAACCTTAAGTCAATGGACTAACGTGTCTTTCATCTTTATATATTGTTCTAGCTTTTTATTTCTATCCAACGTGGGTATTAGACTTAGAGTTGGATTCCCAACAAATCTGACATGAGTCCAACTGATATAAAGAATTAATTAACATCATTTTTCTACCTAAAACCTTAGAAAGAATGAGTTTATAAGTCTATTTCTTATATGGTGTTTAGCTTTTATATTTATATCCAATATAGAACTTAAATTCATACTTAAACATTGAACGAGGGAAAGTTTAGAGTTATACCTAAAGCATCAACATAAGTTCTGCCATTGGTGAAGCGACCAGTGGCACCCCCAGGGAAGTCAATGCCATAAGGCCTGTAGTTGGCCCTGGCAAGAGTTAGAATTCCATTGTTGTTTCCATTGTCAACCAATGAGTCACCAAATATGAAGAAGCATGGCACCTGTTGCCCCGGAGGAAGCCGTGGCTGCACCTGAGACATGCATCTGCCACATAGGCTCAGCCACAACATCCATGTCAATGTCAAAACCAAATGCTTCATCATCTTAAGCACCACCAATTTTCTGACAAAAATGGCTGTTGTGAACATGCATTCTTATATTCTCCTTCTTAGAAATGGTTGTGAGCATATTTATGGCATTCATGTGATAGGCCTATTTGATGATTTGTTGGGTAAGTGAGACAATGAGAGAAGAAGCTTTTTGGTAGAGAATTAATGCATTTTTAGGTCATAAGTATGAGACTTCCTTTATCATCGGTGAATGGAGCCTCATCTCGTGACCAACAACTGGATCTCATCCACATAGAACATGCTAGACACCTTTCTGCAAATGCATGAGTTACAGTTACCAAGTTGTGTAAACATTTTTTCAGTTTGCCAATTTAATTATGAAGTAGTTGCAGCATTTCAGTTGTCCTTTTAACAAAAATGTCAGCATACTGAACTGTGATTTTGCACCATACTCAATAGATAGGATAACTCTTGAAGAAATTGGAAATTTATTACAAAATGCAAAGACAGAATTTTATGGACTAAGCTAACATATGTTGTCACCTTTTAGTGACGCGGATATATATTTATAATTTTTCATTTTACTTTAATTTCTTTTGTCAATTTTATAAAGTTAAAATATTTATTAAAATGTAATCAAGTCGTTTTTTATATACTTTAAAAGAAACCTACTAACAGTTTGTAAGGAAAAAAAATAGACAAGTTTACATTAATGAATCCAAGGTATTTCCCGTCAGAGTGAAGGCGCAAACCATGTTTGTTGATAAACATTAACACAAAACTCAGACTCTAAATAACCACGGTATAATTACACATTTTGATAACTATGTATTGGTATTCTATTTTAATAAAATAAGTAATTGAACAATTTCTTTCTACTAAAAATAATTACATAACTTATTTCCTAAAAACCGGCTACCACATAATACTATAATATTATTTCTATAAAATTAATATTTTTATAAAATTTATTATTTTAATATCATTCTTAGAAAACTATATATTTTTTGAAAATGTAATTCTTAGTTGAAGTGTGGCATAAGAAGTTAAATTTTTTACCCATATTTGTAACTTTTTGTTGTTACTTTTAGAAATGACAAAATTTTGTATGTTGAAAATAATTGATAGGAGTGTTTTAATTATTTGTTGATTAGGCAAGTATGTGATTATGATATCCAATCCGCACTATCATTAATTATTGTTTGTTAAATCTTATTTGGATATTTAATATAAAAAATCGGGATTTAAATAAATTTATTGATGAAAGAAAGAAATATTGTTTACAAATTAATTTTACATATTTTTATTTATATTTAAAATTTAATATTTTTTTAAAGGATTAATTTAAAATCTATAGGTTATGGTTTAACTTATTAATTTTTTTTAAATCAGATTTATTTGGACTGATATTTTAATATGCAATTTTATTTATTATATAGTTTAAAATTATTACCTTTTATGTGGAGTTTTATTTTAAAGAATTGTTTAAAACAATTGTATTTAAAATTTAAAAAATAAAAAAAATGAGAAGGCATGAAAATGTAAAAAAATTCATGAAAACTTTTACATAAATCCACCAGATAGTACACCTAGTTATACTGTAATTTAGCATGTGTTCTACATAGGTTAGGTTTGATTGTTTACTTTATAGTGTTTTTATAATTAATAAATATCTCTAAACATAGTGTAACGAATATATTGTAACTAAACTAATATTTTAATTTAATCAATATGAAATTCGCTTTTCCATTTACTATAATTCATTAAACTTAATTTTTCCATATATAGGTATTTTTAATTTTTTAATTTAAATAAAATTTCTATATCAAAAAAAAGGGGGCGTTCCATAGCTTTTTAAATTAAATTATAATGCGACTAAAAGAAAATGTGAATAACAAAAGCACTTGTACTAAATCAATATTAAAGAAAAAAATTAACATTAGAATGCAGCACTTTTAAGTTTATAAATTTAAAATAAATTGATGTTAGTTACTCTCATTGTCTCCTAGACCACATCAACTCGCCGATGAAGACATGTGAGAAAGGAGAAAACAGTAAGTAAAATGGGTATAAATAGGATAAACATACATTAATCTGAATACTAAAAAGGGGCAAAGTATACATTTTCATACACTATAGAGCCCTAAATTTGACACTATTTAAAAGCTGAAGCTTTAATTTGATGAAAAAAAAATGCGAGATAAGCAGCAACAAGCTTTAATTTGATTAATGCAGAGATTCACTTAAAGCAAATAAAGAATTTCTCAAGGGACCCAAGAGATCCATTAGACCGGTAAAACTATTTAACAAATTATCCATCATAACTTTTCTTACTACTCGCATCTAAATAGAACAGCTTCTGTACTATGACCACAACTCTAGCTTACAAGTTTATGAATACAAAACATAATCCTTACTAACAAAACGCTAAACAAGGTAAAATCCAAACAAAACCCGATTAGCCTTCATAATCTCCCTGAGCAAATTTGTTCTCTGGGTAGAAAACCGCTACTACTTGGTTCCCATCAAATTTTCGTCCATTCAATCCAGCACGGGCTTTTGTGGCACCATCCACGTCAACATACTCCAAAAACACCTGCAAATTCAAGAGTTACTTACAGTTTATGGCATATGTACACCAAATACAGAGCAACTATAAGTAATTATAAGCAATATTAATTTTTCAACAGGAATTTTTGACAGATCCTCTGAGAGCAACTATAATTTTGATTCCACAACTGCACCAAACCAGCAGCATTGAGAAAGGAGGGAAGTGAACAAAATCAGTGCTCTTAATTTCAACTGATAAAGAAATTTTTATTTGTTTATATATATATATATATATATATGACTGGAGAGGATTCAGAATTTCCGTAACGAGTCAAGAACACACCTTCCCAACTCCGGCGGCAGGCTCACCATCATGCGGTGGACGCGGGATCACCACATTCACCAAGGAACCTGCATGAAGTGAAAACAAAACAGTGAACTATGCAATGGAATTTTCATAGACATGCAATGAACAAATATGTGAGGATAAAGAAGGTTATGGAGACTTCAGTCTGTAATTTAGGCCTGATTCTCTATGAGAATGTGGGACTACAAATGGCTGTAAAACAAATAAGACAGAAAAACAAAATAAGACAGAAAATTAATATGAATGTTGTTTAGAGCGATATAAGGGGGGAATATCCGAAATTACCAAATTTGGAGCACTCTTGTCTCATATCATCAAGAATCTCTTCGTAGTCTTCATCATCTTTGAGCTCGTCAGCAGAAACTGCGTGAGTTAAGCACACCACCTTTGTTGCCACTAAAGCTGGCTGCAACATAAGTTTCTACAAAAATAAAAAGCCTCGAGCAGTTAGAATTTTAAACACATGCACAGATGATCCTGGAAACAAAAACAATTTAGGGGACAATCCATCTAACCTGCAGTGCAATCTGCTGTTGGGCATGCATTAAGATGCTCTCCTGTTCAGGTTTAGGCTGCTGTGGGTTTGCACCTTGATTAGCTCGTCTAACTGTGAGAGTCTTATCTCCCATTTTTATTCCATTTAGAGCAGCACATGCAATATCAGTAACTGCAAGATCCTGGTAAACACAAAATGCATAACCCTTTGAATTTCCCGTTTCTCTATCTTTCACTAGATCAAAACCCCTTAGAGGACCAAAAGTCTCTAAAAGCTCTCTTATCTGCGTTTCTGTGAAGTAATAAGGAAGTCCACCAACAAAAATTCGATCTGGACCATCAAGTCCACCAGCAGACCCTGGTGTTAAGCCAACAGCACCAAGATTAAGGTTTGGGTTAGGCTGGCTTGGGCCTAGAGTAGCAGCTAAGGAAGGATTATAATCAGTAGGTCTCCTGACCTTAACAGGTGCCCCCTAATAAAAAAAAATTGGATTAGCACCGATGGACATGGTCATTCCTTGCACAATAAAATGAGAAAAGATACCTCAAAAATAATCCCATCTAAAGCCATTGCATTGCTAGCTTCCTCAACAGACCTCATCTCCACAAAGGCGAACTTCTTGTCATGATTAATGTAAACATTAACCACAGCATCACCTGGATACAAATTAAATTAGCCCCATTATAATGTCAACAAACTGGCACAATTCACTGAAGTTTAATATGTACCTGGGCCAGCAGTGTTTCCCCCAATCTTAGCCATAACTTGACTGAAGAAAGTTGCAACTGACTGCAGCATAACCAGAATAGAAACAACAAGCCAACTTGTCACAACCATCTTAAAGACTTAACCATTATGAGCAAGAAATTATGATATTAGTATTACCTGCTCATTAGCTGTAGGAGGAAGGCCCCCAACATACACCCGCCTAGCATGTCGTGTAGCCTGTAAATTCAGTGCATTAAAGACAGTCCATAACCGGGGAAAGTCATGTTAAAAGGGTAAAGAATGTAAATTTCATCTCACCGAAAAGCATTTTTACCTGTTGTGTCATAGCCTGAACTGGCATGACTGGGAGAGCACTGAACGGCTGCAACTTAAAAAGGAAAGAAACAAGAATAAAGAGAAATTAATAAAAACCTCAAATTGAATAACAAGATCTGCAGAAAAGGAATCAAAAAATACCTGGTTTGTAGCCAACGGAAACATATTTTGAAACATTCCGGGAATTGCAGGATTTGCACCAGTGATCTGACCTGCAAATAAAGGAATATGGCATATCAGAACAAGCTCATTGTTTTCACTATTTGCAATCATAGAACATAAGAATCAAATGCCTCCTTTTACTCCAATTGGCACGAGCTTAAGGATAATTATACCTCGTGGCAAATATTGTATTAATAATATTAAAGGAGCATTGTAAACAAGCTTTAGAGATAATATTTGTGTCTACCAAAGTAGGTAATAGTTTCCAGTTGAAGACGAACAAGACCCACCAAAAACAGGTGCATTGATTCCTCCGTGGACATAAAAGCTACAGATGTCGGCTCACGCCCATTGTCAGCACAGTGGGGCTAGTAGCCCAACATTGCCTTCTTAGAACATATGACAAGACATAGAAACAAAACAAACAAACACCAAACACAAGACAAAAAACCAAAGCATCTTTTAGTTCCAGAATTATATCGCTAAGTAAAAAGAAAGACAAAATTACACACCATGGGAAACCAGTCCTCAGAGGCTATATATACTCAGATAGTAACTGAACAAAGCTTACCAAGTTTATGCAATTTGATATGAATTTTCCATACTAGGACAAACAAAAAGAAAAAACAGTTAAGATGAGAAATTTCATAATATATACATGCGTAAATGTACCTGTAACAGCAGAAGCACCAGCCAACATAGCAGAGGCAGGCGGAGCCATATCAAAACCACTAGTCCTTTTGCTGTAAGTGCAGTAAATTAGTTAATCGAATAATGAATGCTACTCTTCAAACCAATCGAATAATGAATGCTACTCCTCAAACCAAGAAGATGTATCAAATGACAAACTTAAGTAAATATCAAACACGTCTATCAAAAATTGTTAAAACAGGTGACGAAATGATGAACGAAGAGCAATGATTGCCCTGCCGCCAATAAAATTATAAACAAGGATAGGAGTGTATTCACAACATTATACTGGTTCCACTTGCGCATCCACCAACTATTTTATTTTACAGACAAAAAATAGAATTCACAAAAGGAAGTCACATGCATGATATGTTTAGCAAACATCTATTTACCTCTTTGAGCGTGAACGAGAACGCGACCTTGATCTATGCTCGGATCTACCCCCTGACTTGGATTGAGATCTAGACCGAGACCTCCGCCTATGCCTATCCTCTCTGTCAAAATCCCCCCTTCTTCTGTAAAATCACATAATTTCAGATAAAAATTGAAAAGAGAACAGGAAAAACGTTATTTAAAAAAACGTAGCTGAGTATGAATTCAAGATATAATACAACACATGGCATGCTAATGAAAATCAGATGCTGATGAAAATCCTCAAGCTCCAACTGGGATACAAGGCAGTAAGATCCCAAAAACAAAATTTTACCTGTCAAAGTCACGGCTTCTGTAAAAATCATCTTCATCTCTATCCCTTGTCCTTTCCCTTCGTTCACCACGATCCCTGTGCCGATCTCTGTGGTGGCGGTCCCTATCCCGGTCCCTTTCCTTCTCACCATCACGCTCTCGGTCCCTCTCCCTTTCTTTGCTCCTCTCCCTATCTCTGTCCTTGTCCCTGCTTCTCTCCGAATCCCTATCCCTACTTTTCTCCCTTTCCCTCCCCTTTTCCCTTTTTCTATCCCGGTCTCTCCCTTTCTCCCGCTCCTTATCTCTGCTTCTGGAAGATTCTCTGTCATAATCACGAGATCCATGCTGCCAAAAGAAAATAAAAGATTAACAGGTGCGAGCAAACCCATATCTTCAAGCCTACCAGGCAACGATGCATATGAAAGTAAGATTAAAAAAAAACAAGCATAGTTGGAACAAAACATTTCACACTCGGCATACGCGAGATATAAAAACAGTTCACAAAACAACCTGCAAAGCATAAATCACAATAAAACCTAAAATACCTGAAAAGCAGCCAAATCCAAAAAACATTTTTCCTAAAATTTATACAACATTCAAAAGAAACACGAGAGAGCACTGCATAAAGACATGGCAAAGCATGAAGATTTCAATGATAGCTTGGCAGGAAAAGAGACAGCAGCATATTACCAAAAGCAAAGACCTTACGAAAACCTAAGCACCTTTAATCACACAGTGAAGCATGAATTACAAAAGGGGGGAAAACACGAAACAAAATCCAACCCCGAATCACGCCATAACTAACACAGGTGTAGTCAGTTTCACAAACAGTGAAACGAAAGGCTGACACGAGATTTGTAGTGTTAAGATTGGGAACATGATGGGAAACAGAAAAACCCTGTCCCGAAACCCCAGTTATGAGAAAAAGGGAGAAAGCAGTGAAAAAAAAAAACCTAATTGCAAATGAAAAGGAAAGTGCGGAGAAATAAAGAGAGAAGAAGAAGGGATTGGTGGAGCAGAAAGAGAGAGAAAACATACGTGAGATTTGGAATCGGTGAGATCGCCGTGAGTGGGCTGAGGAGAGGAATCGAGATGAGGATGAGGATGGGAATTGTGAAGGTCTTCTTCTTCTCCGTTGCCTTCGTATCTTTCATCGTATTCGGCCATTTTTTTTTCTCTTTCCCTTTCTCTGTGCTTTTCCTTTGTGGAATGATAGATATGATTTGGCAGTGTGCAATGTGTGTGAATGTGTCACAGCACCACCATTCTTGTGCTCATATACCCTCTTCTTTTTTTCTTATTCATCTCCTATGTGGGCCAATCGGCCCATTTCTCTTTTTGGATTTTCGCTCATCAATTCAGTGGCTCTTTCTTTGTATTTTACTTTATGCACCCACGTACTCAAATTATTAATACTAAATTACAAACTTGAAAGTATTGATTTAGATTATTTTGTTAATATTAATAGTTAAAATTAATAATTTAAATGTATCATAATAAATTAAATTTATTCATGATTAGAACTTTAAATGCTCCACAGGAAATTTAAACAGATCATTTTTAATTATTATTTATAATGTATTTATAGTAATAATTAAATTCTTTTGTAAAGGGTAACGAAGGAAATCTTTTAGTTTATTTTTTGTTGATAAGTTAAACATTTTTTTCCAGTATTCAACACTCAATATATGGAATATTATTGAAGACTTGGAGGTTGATGTGTGAGACATATATTTCAAATGTTATTCGGAGTACGATAATATAATTTTTTTAGAATAATTTCTATTTTATGACAAAGTTTATGAATTAAACATATTTAATCAGTTGTTTAAAAAATTGTTTGTTATAATGTTTTTTCTTTTTTTATTTTAATTAATTTTAGGTGTGTTGAGTTGAGGGGATAGAATTCTTAAAAGTTTTCTCATTTTAAGATTTTGACACAATGTGTACATTGTAAATACTATTTTAAAGTTTCTATCTCAAAAATATTTATCATAAATCTTAAATATTTGTGTTATAATATATATATATATATATATATTAATTATTGTATATGATTAAATGATGACAATATATTTCTCACATAAATAAAAATATAATAAGTGAAAATTGTAAATTTCTCACGTTTAAATCATAATTATTCTAATGTGATTGAGAATCTTCTCCTTTATCATACATTTCTTCTATGATCTCTTATAATTGAAAAACAATTGGACTTATTAAATTCAAGTATTTGACCCATGTTTGCCTTTGATAGTACGTTTTCAAATTATTTGACACATATTCAAATAAATATAGTAAAGTGTAATTATTGTTGCAACATCTCCTTCTTTGTTGGTGAAATACTTTGTTACATTGAGTGTATGTAATCAAAACCAAGAAAGAAATTGAAAGGTTTATAATAGTTTTTTAACACAATTTATTAGCTCTATTAGGTTTATTGTCATGTTGACTTATCATTTTTATAAGTGTTTATTGTTCTTTTGAATGTCATCCAACTATTATATTGCTTCTTGTGTCGTTTCAACCTTTACTATGTTGTAATAATAATTAACCATGATTTAGTCATTACTATGGAAGAAATTGAAAATTGTATGCTACAATGCAAAACATCACTTATGGATCTATGTATAGAGTAATTGTCCATATCTCATCAAGTTGTCATTAATTAATGCATCAAATCATATGAATTTATAGTTTACATGTGAGAAATCACATTAAGACTTTTTTTTACAATGACACAACAATTATCGACATGTCTATGTTCAATGCTTTGATTAATGTGACATTATTGTTCATGTGTGATGAATTCTTCTACAATTTAAAGCATCATTTGTGAAAGTTTAAGAAAAGAGTATTCTAGGAGGAAACTTACTCTTAATTATCAATTCTCATTATACAAATGAATGATTCTTAAAATCTCACTTTGCTAATAATAATTTATAAATGAAATGAATACACACAACAAACATTCAAATTCAACATAATATCACATTTTATTTAAATATTATAGCTTATGACAAGATTTCTATGTAGTTTCAACTTTGTGACTTTCACTAAAATAATAATTTTGTTCAAGATGTTACCATTCTCCAAGGTTTTAATAGTTACGATGTAAAATACATTTTCTTTTAAGTCAACTCTAACACACATACATCTGAGTAGACCTATTATAAAATATCACACAAATCTTAGATTATTGTGACTTTTTTATTATCAAATATGAATATCAATGTTCACTTTTGTCTTCGATGAGTATTTTATCTGAAAATTAATCTAAATGTAGTTTACATATTTCAATCTTAGGTTAAGATAAACAACTTTAAAAATTGTGTTCCTTAGAATTCACTTTAGAAAATTGAACCATTTAAAATATACAAAATACAATAATTAACAACATGATTATGGTCTACATTGTTTTTTCATAAGAGTTTTTAAACAATTAATTAATATTAATTTTCATCTAAGGAAAATGGATGCAAAGGTCCAAGAGATGGACTCATAAGTGGGACCAGAGGAAATAACAATGGAAAGACACGTGGAGAGGAGAGGAAAAGGCGCACGATCCAAGAACGTAAACATAAGGCTGAAGGAGTATGAGTGGGGTATTTGCTAGTATAAATATAATAATCGTTTAGTGAAAGAAGGGGGACATGGTTGGCATATTCTTCTATCTCTCATGAAACTCCTATGTTCCTATTGGTCTTCTTTTTGAAAACCAATTTCCCTTTGTTGTATGGTTTTCGTATGATTTTTTTTATGAACACTAATACATGAGGAAAATTCAGTTAAATTTTTATAACCATTTTTTGCTTTCGTCTCTATAGTTTTGTGTTCTTTACAAATGGTGTTTTCATCACATCATGATGGAGAACACTCGCCTAAAAGAGATTTCGTCAAAGTTATCACGTTTGAAGGACATTATCGTTGACGTCAAGCAACTTGCTGAGTCCATTTCAGTAACAAGCCGTAACTTAGAACCTTTAATTGCAACCTTAAATGAATGTCATAAGGATGACTTTAATCGATTCGAAACATTGGAAATTATCATGGATAACATGTTGAAATTCATTGTCGCTTTAGAATTTGGAACTCGTTTATTTGCTCAGTCCTCGCCATTCCAAGTTTGAAATGTTAAATTAGATTTTCCTTGCTTTGATGGGTCAAATGTTTTACAGTGGATTTTCAAATCTGAAGAGTTTTTTTATTACTATAAAACATCAAATGAATAATGATTACTCATTACTTCAGTTCACATGGATAAGGACGTTGTTTCTTGGTACCAAATACAGTATAGAACAAATGTTTTTCCCACATGGATTGCTTTTACTCATGCTATGGAAATGGAATTTGGCCCTTCACCATATGAATGTCCTCAATCAAATTTTTTTAAGTTGACTAAGGATGGTTCTGTTCATGATTATCTAAAATTCACTACTCTTACTAACCGGGTACAAGTATTAGTGATGTTTTGCTAGATTGTTTTATGGGAGACTTACAATAAGATATTCGTCGTGATGTTTTAGCCCAAGCTCCTACCACCTTAATGTGATGCGTTTCTTTTGCCAAACTGCATGAGGAGAAATATGTCAACAAACCAAACACAAGCTATAAATACCATATTAAAATCTAAACACAACCTACAAATATTAACCAATCCTCTTCCTAGTCCCTTAAATACAATACCCTACCACCCTGACTTCCCAAACCTACCACAACACCTCATTCAAAAAAAGTTAGTGTTAGAAAAATGTCCCTTGTTGAAATGCAATTACGAAGGGCAAAAGACGCAAGCTTCACTTGTGATGAGAAATTCACCCCCTCTCATAGGTGTCCCAATAAACAGTATATATGGCTACAATTAGATGAGGAAGATGATTTTGATGAACTAACAACCTCTTCTGTGAATTTGTAGTTGAAAATCCTCAACCTGTGTGTGAACCTCATTTGACTTTTAATGCCTTAAAAGGTTTTGCTGGTGTTGGAACAATGCAATTTCATGGACTTATCAAGGTCTGTTTATTAAAAAAAAATTGCATAGTAGGACTTCAGACAAAATCCTCCAACCAAGAATTGCCAATTATATGAAATTACCTATAAAACCAATATATAATTTCAATGTCCTAATAGGAAATGGTAGGACCTTAATAGTTGAAGGCATGGATAGTTTACCTTAATAGGAAATGGTAGGACCTTAATAGTTGAAGGCATGGATAGTTTACCTTAATAGGAAATGGTAGGACCTTAATATATAAAACCAGTAAAATATAGTTTTCCTATTCTCATAGTTAATGAACTAATGCATGAGATTCATGGTGCTCAATATTTTTCCAAATTGGATCTTAGGTCAGATTATCATCAAATTCTAGTAAAAAAGGAAGATAGGCATAAAATAGTGTTTAGAACTCATCAAGGTTTATATGAGTGGTTGGTTATGCCATTTGGATTGACCAATGCCCTTGCAACATTTTAGTCTTTGATGAATGAGGTGTTTAACAAGATGCTTAGAAAATGTGTTTTTGTGTTTTTTTATTGATATATTGGTTTATAGCCCTTTGTGGGTGACCTACTTACAACATCTTGAAATGATGAGCTGCTGGAAAATAAGTTGTATGCAAAGTTGGCTAAATGTTCATTTGGTCAACAACAAGTGATATATTTAGGACCGCAATTTATGGGAAAGGCATTGTTATGAAGGACAACAAGATACAAGCTATACTAGCTTGGCCTATTCCTACAAATTTAAAACAACTCAAAGGCTTTCTTGGGCTTATAGGATATTATACGAGATTTATAAAAGGGCATGCAGGACCATTGACAGAGCTATTAAATAAATATAATTTTCATTGGCAAGATGCAACTTCACTCGCTTTTACAAAATTGAAGGAGGCTTTAACTTAAGCTATTGTACTTGCTTTGCCTGATTTTACCTTGCCTTTCCAATTGGAAGCCGATACATTAGGTGTGGGATTAGAACTATCTTGAGTCAGAGCTTCCACCATATTTCTTTTTCCTCAAAGAAAATGTCCTCTTCAATGTAGAAACAATGTGCTTATGTCAGGGAACTATATGGGATAACTGAAGCAGTGACCAAATTTCGTCATTATCTTGTTGGGTTATAAATTTGTGATCAAAACTGATCAACAAAGTTTGAGGGCTATTATGGATCAAAGTTTGAAAACACCCAAGCAACAAAAATGGCTTCATAAATTACTAGGGTATGAATTCACTATTGAATACAAATCAGGGAAAGAGAACATTGTA